GTTTGGGACTTCATTGCCAGCCAAAGTTCCAGCAGGATCCCTGCTCCTCTCCATCTCCCCACAGCCCTGACACCCTCAGGCTGCTTTGGAGTCAGTCTCCAGTACCCTCCTCTGTCAGAACTCAAAATGTCCCTCAGACATTTTTGGATGTTCCGGGCCCAGGTCAGAAGCATTTGAGACCCTGGCAGGCAGCTGCAAACAGCTGGGATTTTGGGTTTGAGCCATGGGATGATTTACCAACCTTGCAGGAAGAACAAGAAGTCACAAAATTTAGATTTTAGAGTAGAAGTAGTCACAGAGTAGAGGGAAGAATTTTTGAGTGCTGTACAGGGGGTTTTGGTTTTGTACATGGGGGTCAGAGGTTTAAGATGGATTTGGGATTTGGGCCTGCCCTGTCCTCCCTCTTTCTCCTTCCTCACCTCCATGTTCTTGGTGATGTTGGCACTCACAGATTGGTTTAGAGTAGAAAGGCACCATTTAATATAGGCAATAGGCATTGGGATAAACTGTAACCATGTAACACGTAATGTACCATATAAAAGATAGAAAATCACCATTTAATATAGGTAATAGGCATTGGGGAAAACTGTAAACATGTAACATGCAATGTACCATATAAAAGATAGAAAATCACCATTTAATATAGGTAATAGGCATTGGGATAAACTGTAACCATGTAACACGTAATGTACCATATAAAAGATAGAAAATCACCATTTAATATAGGTAATAGGATTGGGATAAACTGTAACCATGTCACACGTAATGTCCCATATAAAAGACAGCAGCAGCCCTGGGTGGGAGAGAAGAAGCAGTCGGGGTCAGAGAGGATGTCAGGGTGTGTGTGTGCCTCTGCCTGAGCTGTGAGCAAACCACAGCAGCCCCAGAAGAAAATCTTTGAGATAACTTGCAATAAACTGCCTTGAGACCCAACAACAGAGACTGCTGAGCCTTTCTTTGGAAGCTCGTGTTGGAGGAGAGACTTTTCCACCACACAGAGCCACCCCTGACCTAGGGGTGAGCTCTGGCACTCCTTCATCCACACTTTTTGTCTCACAGCTTTCACCTGCCTGGTCCCCAAGGTAGAGGGGAAGGCTCCCCTGCCTCCCCTGTGAGCATCCCAGGAGTGGAGCTCCCACCAGGCTTCAAAATGCAGCCATTAATCTTATTTCATTGTAATGGCAATCAACAAATCCCCCAATGATCAACTCTTGTACTGAAATGACACATTTACATCTCCCATCCTCCTCTCAAATTGCCCTTTCCCCTCCTCTATTCTTTTTTCTTAAATCTAGCATTCCCCAACACTACCAGAGAACCACAGAATGGTTGGAAGGGACCTTTAAAGTTCATCTAGTCCAGCCTCCTGCCATGAGCAGGGATAACTTCAACCAGCTCAGGCTGCTCCATTACAACATTTATGAAGGATATTGAAATCACAGCCTTCTTCACCCAACATGAAATTGTTTTTTTGTTCTAAAAGTCTGTTTTTCCCCTCCAGAGCATCCCTGCCTTTGCCAACGTCCTGCATGTCCACGGGGTTTGAAGGTGCCCTCTGACTGCATAAGTAGGATGGGTTCACTATCCAGAGAGGAGATTTAGATTCCACATGAGGGAAAGCTTCCTCACAGCTCAGACAGATTTTAGGGAGGGAGAGGAATCTCCATAGCCAGAGGTTAAGAACAGGTGAGACAAACATCTGTCAGAAGCGTTATAAGTAGGGCAGAAGGGCAAATCAGATGACCTCATAAGAATCCTTTTTTCCCAGCCTCATTTTTCTCTGATTATATGAATTTCTAAGCATTTGGGGTCAAGTGTACTGCTTAAATATAAGCTATTATCCTGCTTTTGCAGAGAGGTATTACCTGAGACCATTCATCACCTGAGTGAACATCCACAATTTGCAAATCAACAGCCCAGACATAAAAATCTATCTTTTTTTTTTTTTCCATTTATGCTGAAGATGAATGGGAGGACAGCTGTAACACAGGGGTGGGAGGGGAATGAACACTGAGGATTCTCCATTCATCTCTGGACTTTCACCTTTCCCACTCTAGAAATTCTGCTACCACACTGCTGACATCTACAACAGGCACTTGGCACGGGGCAACCACAGGCTTATCACAGAGTTTTATTTTGGTTTTGTCTTTGCCTTGACCTCTGCAAACCAGGCTGGAACAAGTCTCCAGGACATCCAACCCTGCAGGACATCTGGGAACCAACGCCTCTCGTTGAATACTGACTATGAGACAAAGTTTGTCCATCCAAGGTCTTTCCTGACCTCAAATCTCTCAGCTCCAGATGTAACCAAGCTGCCTGACGAGAGGAGCTGCAGAATCTGCTGCTGGGGACCAGAGCACTGCTCCCCCACATCCCTGGAATTGTTTGTGTTCACACTGCAGGTTAGGAGAGTTGTGCTGGGAATGGTCCCCAGGAGATTTCTCTAGCCCTGAAATAGCCTTGGGCAAGCATTACACCAAGGCAGGAGCAGAAATATCCAGTCAGGAGAATTCCTTTTGAGTCAGTTATTGCCCTGTTAGAAATATTAGAAAAATTTAGAATATTTGTTACTAAAAGCCAGACTTGACAAGGCAAGGACAGAGCAGTGAACCCAGCTTCTCAGTCCTACAGCTAATACCACCAAGAATCACAGAATGGCTTGGGTCAAAAAGGATCTTAAAGATCATTCAGTGCCATCTCCTGTCATGGGCAGGGACATCTTCAGCTGGGGTTTAGAGAATCCCAGGTTGCCCCAAACCCTGTCCAGCCTGGCTTTGGACACTTCCAGGGATCCAAGGACAGCCACAGCGTCCTTGGGCAAGCTGTTCCAATGCCTCACTACTCTCTGTGTAAAGAATTTCTCCCTAACACCTAATCCAAATCTCTCCTCTGTCACCTTGAAATGCCCAGTGCCCAGCACATCAACCAAGCCTGTTCTCATGCAGGATTGCAGCTGCCAAAGGCAGGGCAGCAAAGCTGAAGTTCAGCTCCAGCCCGGACCATAGGCAGGTTAAGCCTCTGTTTGCACCACAGAGAAACATTTGACATCCCCACAAACGTGGGGAAAGGTTCACTGATGGCTCTGAAATTGGTTTGAGAGCTGCCTCTAACACATGTGCTAAGTGGCAGAGCAGCAGTGCTGGGGCTTGGCTGGCAAGCAGGACATCAGCAGAGGAGAGCAGGCTCTCACAGACACACATCCAGCCTCCAAAATACTTCACCAACCATCCAATATTTTCCAAGCTTAGCGGCTGGACTCTGCAACCCCTTTCAGCAGCCAAGTCACTAATACCTCTTCCCTCAGGCAGCACAGCTGATCTCAGGCAGGGCTTGCCAGCAGCTCTAAGCAGGCTCATTTAAGGAGAGGACAGCCTACTTAGTTACACACTTCAGACTTCCTGCTTTTAATTCAAGCATCTCCAGCTTCTTTTGCAATGTCTCTGATTCACAGTGAAGATGTGCACTCATAAATATGCTCTAACACTTTTCCCCACCGTGCCCTCTCTCCCAGTCCTGTCCCTACTCAGTCTGACACCAGTTTTCTTGGTTTGGGACTCACCCCATGGGACATAAGAAAGCTGTTGGCCTTTTTTGCTCCTGTCTAAAGCCACAGAAGGCAGGGCTGAGTGGTTTCAAACCTAATTGGAGAGGTTCAGCACTGCAAACATTAGTGTGGAGCACGAGCAGACTAAATATGCAAATGCATGGAGAGGCTTAAGAGCCCAGGAAAGAAACTCCAGTGGGAAGCTCCCAGCTTAAATCTAAAGGCAGCTCTTTGAACGTGCACAGGCCTTGTGGCTAAACAAAAAAAATCAAAGCCAGATTTGGGCACAGCCTTTCTCCCTGTGCAGTGCTCCACAGGGAGCTTTGCAGGTCTAGGCAGAGATCCCAACTGAAATCAAGGACTTGTCCCTTCAGTGTGGGAGAATGAGAGCAGCACAAGGTCAAGCAAGGACACTGAGGGGTGTAGAAGGGAATTAGGGCAGAGTAAGGCAGGATCAGTGTCCTTGCAGTGAGACTCCCATCCTCATTCCTCATGGTCTGTCCTTGTCCCGCCAGGGAGCATCAGAAGAATCCTTGAGCACCAAGGAGCCAACCCATATTCTGAGCACTGCCTGCCTGGAGATTTCGGGGCAGGGAAGCACTCTGGCATTTCTCCCTGTTCCCTTTGCTCAGACTGGAACTCGCCTCTCACTTGAAAGAGCTAATTAAGGGTGGGAATCAAAGCCTGGGGAAGAGGCTCCTGCAGCCCCGGGTGCGGCGCTGGCTGTAATGCCCATGTCTGTGCCTGCCATCAAAGCCAGCCCCGTGCACATCCCTGCAATGGCACTCGCAATAAACCGAGGCAATTTCTTCGGACCATTTGTAGGTCAGGCAGACCAGCCTCTTCCCCAGTCCTGCCCTTAAATCTTGCAGTGTTTAATCCTTGCTCTGCAGCCAGGCCTTTATTTCTCAGTGCAGAGCTGGCTGGAGACCGGAAGGAAAGAGGCTTTGATGGTTAATGACCACTGCTTCTCAGCCCTGGAAGAAATGAAGCCCTGGCTTCATAAAGTTCCCCGAAATAAATCCTTCCCCAGCTACAGCCCAGGGAAGCAAAATTACACCAGCATACACAGAAACTGGCACGAGCCACTGACATCATCTAGGTGCTGTTTTGGTTCAGGTTTGAGCCGAGAGTGAACCTGGGTCAAAGTGGTTTCACACCTGTGATTTGCACCATGAAGTAACTACAACAGGCATATTCCTCCTCTATATTCCAAGGCCCCTTGGTTTAGCTCATCAGCAAACACAGCGTGTCTGCTTGTTCTGATACCAGCTTGTCCATGAGCTAACTGGGACATGAACTGGTTAAATGGGGTGGTGTGGTGAGCTGGAGGCAGAGCCAGCACTAGGACAGGCAGTCTCAGTTCCTTGGGCTCTGCTTTAAGGTTGGTTATCTGAAGACAAGGCCTGTTAATGCTTGAGGAGGGCAAGGTGGGGTGCTCAGGGGCCTCACTTACCGCGCTGCTACAGGGAATGTCCTTGACCTTGAGCCAGGCCAGGTCTAACGTCCCCTCTCCCCTGTAGCAGGACTGAAGCCTGTCCTTGATGCGGTCGTTGATGTTTTTCAGGACAAAGATGCAAAGAGCAGACTCATCCAAGGACTTCATCTTCCTTTTCTGCCCCTTGGAGAAGACCGTGAAGAGGATATCATCCTCGGGGCCAACGCCCAGCGACCTGGCCAGGATGGCCCCAGCCTTTGACAAGTAGGCAGCCTGGAGCAATCGATATTCCACCCCGTTCTTCTCGCAGCCAATGGGCACCTCCACATAGGAGTTAAAAGCTGTGTCCTCCTTGCAAAGCCGCACCAGCTTGGAGGTATAAACCTGCTCCTTTGTGGTGGAGCCGGGTGGGGAGATCATCTCGGGCTGCAGAGTCAGGAAGTAGACAAAGTTCCCGCTGCTGAAGCCGTAGATGTAGTAGATATCGAAGTCGGGGATGATGGTAAAGGTGTCTGAGGGGATCTTGATCATAGAGGCCACAAACTCATCGTGAAAGACATATGCAAACATCCCATCAGCCTCGGAGTTCTTGGTGAGCTTCCTGCTGGAGATGGTGGGGAAATACTCCGGTTTGCCATCCACGGCCGTGGCGATGAACAGCTTGTCGTCCATGTTGCTGTAAGAAACGATGACTCCAAAAACAGAGCCGCTCTCGTTCACCCCAGAGAGGTAATGCTCCTTCTTGTGGAAGGGCTCTCCCAACTTGAAGAGGTCATCCAGCCTCAGGAGCTTGCAGATGCCCTGGTACAGACTCCCACAGGCTATCAACCGATTCTCCTTGTAGTCTATGAGGAGCATTTTGTTTATGTTGTTGGTGGGCGTCAGGGGTTCGTTGCAGGTTTGGACTATCCTGGGAGGATAACACTTGGGATTGTCATCATCAGGACCAGTCTCGTGGGTCACCAGGACCTTCAGGTCGCTGGAGAGTTTGTAGATCCTGTTGACAGCCCCCAAGTAAATGTGCCCAGTCCTTTCGTCCACCACCAAGTGGTTGAAGTTTCCCTCTGCTTGCTCCCCGGTGAAGGTGATGAAGGGCCTCTTTGGATGGGGTGGCTGCTGTCTGCCAAGAGGTGACACTGTGGTGGACAGCAGGAGGTGGGAAACCAGGCAAGTCCATTTCCACATGGCTGGCGACATGATTAGAGAGGTTTGTATTCCCAAGGCAACAAAGATTAGAAGCTGTAAAACTCTTCAAAACACCAATTCCCTGGCAGATTCTGTCCTACAAGCAGAGAAAAAAGAAAACAAAAGTACATTACTATGGAGTATTCCTTCCTCCTCCCTCCTTCACAACCATGCCATCATCAGAGCGTATTTAATTGCTAATCCTCCCTTTCTCCACTCTGAGCTCTCTACTTAAAACCAGCATAAAGGGAGCCCTCCTGACAGAAAAGATGCTGGGAGAAAAAAAGCAGAAATCACACAGCAGAGTAATAAATCAGCACCCTTTTCCCTCTCCGTTGCACACCCACGTGCCCCACGGTGCAGCATAAATATTGACTGCAAGTGCAGAAGGGTAATGGTAAAAACATCACCCAGCATTGCTGTTTGCACTGCCAGCATCAGCTCAGCTGTGGATTCGCTATCTGAGACACCAGAACTGGGGAAGGATTATTATCCTGCTCCTCTGGACGAGGCACTGAAGCCTAGAGAAGGTCAGGGATCTGCCCACAGGGATGGGGCCAGATGGATGCTGAGCTCTCCCACAGCCCTTGAAGTTTGTCGGGAAGGAGCCAGCTCTGGTGTGACATTAACATCCTTTCGGGGAGATCCCAGTCCAGAACAGATCTGTTTGAGCAGGAGCTCTGTGGCTTCCAGATCAAAGCTGCCTCACACCAGCCCAGCCTGCAGTTCAGACCCAGGGGCTGTGGTGTGCCAGCTGTCACTGCCACATCTGCAAAGGGCTGGCAGCAAAAGGAGCACTGGGTGTCTTGTGCTCTCACCACAGACCACTCTCCATGCACTTCACAGCCAAGGGAACATCATCCAAAAGAGATCCAGCTCCCCTGGGAATCTCAGGTGACTGAGGAGAAAGGGGTTGTATATCTACCAGCAGTGATAAAGCCTAAATCACCCTCAAAGTAGGAAAACCAATGACCCAAGGACCAGCCTGGTAGCTTTCCAAAGAGAGGGAAGAGGCTTTCCTTGCACCACTTAGTCCCTTAAAATTCTCCCAGGTTTTGACCATGGTGATGGGAGCAGTATGAGTTTCAAACATTTGGTGGGCACATCACCAAGCCCCATGGAAACATCTCTTCCTACTCAACACATCCATCTGCTCCCTTTTCCTTCACTTTTTTGCTTGTTTCTGTACTAAGAACAGCTTTACCCCTTTATGACCCCACAGAGCATGTGGGAGATGGAGTTCTACCAGCTCGGGCCTCACAAGCCGAGCTCCTCACGGAGTGCTGACCACACAAACCTGGTGGCCAGGCCCTTCATCCCTCTATCATCCAGATCAGAACTTCACAAAGCTGCTCTTGATGTTAAAAAGGACACAAGCCAAACACATCTCCACTCCCGCAGTGTCCCAACCCCTCTGTCACAGAGTGACTTTGCTGAAATCAGGGGTGTAATCAGTGATGACAGCCAGGCTCGCACAAGTAGGAGGCAAGGGGAAAAAAATCCTTGTTTGCAGATCCCAGCAGGGAGGAAGATGTGACAGTGACACAGGTCTGGATGTGCAGCTTTTTCAGATCTATGCAGCTCTGCTAACGCCAGTGGAACTGAAAAATTTACTTCAAAAAAATAACAGGAGGAATAAATCCCACATTCTTTTGACCTGTAGGCTGATGAGATCTGATAGTGGAAAGGGTAAATCTGAGCTTGTAGAGCAGACATCACTTTTATGCCACCCCAAATATTTCAAAATTCTTGCACAGCAGCCAGAATTCCCAAGCTGCTGTAGGATCACCTTCACCTCCCGCTGCCCTGCCTGCCGCAGCAGCCGCAGGCGTTGGATGGATGATGGACAAAGGTCAGCCCACATTTACTTTAGTCATGTTTACCCTGTTCTGCTTTGCCTCTCTGGTCAAGCAAATATTTAATAAAACCAAGCTTATAGCGCGGAGTTTGCAGGGCTGTCTCGCGAGCTCTGCAGGGATAGGCAGGCTGGTCACGTAGGCTGTTAATAACCTTTATTATGATGGATAGAGCAGTGATGGGATGAGCTCTCCCCACACAACCATTCCTCTTTCAAAAGGGCCCATCCTTGAGAGGGCAGCAGAAGAGGGAAGCCGTCCCTGTTTGAGCCCTGTGTTCAGAAGCATCACGTGGCGACCCTGAACACCCGCTCCCGTCACTGATGAGTTATGATCCACATTTCTAACAGGCACTGGTTTGATCAGGAACTAGGCAGATCTAGGGAGAAATTATTCTTTTCAAGTACTAAAAAGGTATCTGTGTTAGCCCTCTATTTTAGTGTATTTTGCTCTGCAGAGTCAGCAGAGCTGCAGGGCAGGGAAACGGGAGCTGCTGCAATCCCAAGACTGATACTGAGCAGCCCGTCTGTCCAAAATTCATCAAGCACCAGGACACAGCACCTGCAAAAATGGCATAAAATCTGCCCATTAAAACAAACAGTCAAGACAAAATGAGAAGAGACAGACTCCAGGCATAAATTCTTCGAGGCCCATGCAGGTGAGAATTGATTTGAGGTCAGCCTATCACTGGCAGAGGAAAGGAATGGTGAGGAGAACCTTGCTAGATCCCTTCCAACCCAAGCCATTCTGTGATCCCTCCAGGGAAAGACAGCAAATTTGTTCTGGAAACCAGAGAGACTCCAGTGAGAAACTCCAGGAAGGCTTTACAGCAGGCAAAGGTGCTTTCCAAAACACTGAACCTCATGGGGGAGGAAGTTCACCTGCAGAGGAAAGAGCATCAGCAGTCTGAGACGACCAGCATTGCACAGGAGCAGCTTTTTGGGACAAAGCAGGGAGAGCCTGGGGCTATTTTGCCATCTTCCAGCAGCCATCTGAGTGACCTAGGAGCAGGATTTTCTCTCTGCTTGCTGCTGGCACTCTCTCCTCTCCCATCTGCTCCTGCTGTACCCTCTGTCCTGGAGCCCCAGTCAGTCCTGGAGCCTCTGAGGGCTATAATTTACAATTTGGCTTAATTAATAAATAACAGCAGAGGTCAGGGGCAAGGAGGCCTGGAGGTTTAGCCTGCAGAATAGAGCAGGGTTTGTACAACCCCTTAGAGGATGCACCAAGGAGAAGGGGGTTGTGGATGGGTTTTTTTTCCCCTGTGCATGGATGGCAGGAATCACAGCAGCTGGAAAGGCAATAATACAGTGCTGTGGACATGCAGAGTCTACAAGAGAGTAATTCTATTCTAAAAACAAAGCAAATAAACAAAAGGCCACAGCCAGCAAGGGCTGGACTTGGGCTCTGAGCTGGCTGTTTCCAAAATAAACCCAAACTGTCTTCTCCGCTGGGGATGTGGCCAGCAGTGATGCCACGAGCCACCACCCCGGGCTCCTGTGTGAGGCCAGATCATCAAGGTGGCTCCTGCCACAGCAGCCTCTCCATCAGCACATCCAGGTCCCTGGGAAGGTCACAGAGCAAATCCAGCTGTTTCAGACAGGCTTTCATCCATGGCAGAGGAAGGACTCAGAGTCAGCATCCACAGGAGGTTTCACACCACTGCCCTGCCTGTGGAATCGTGACTTTATGGCTTGAAAATAACACATTCCCCAGAAGATGCCTTGAACTCCCTGAATTTGGTTTAAGTGCTGGTTTCTTCCTGAAAAACAATGAGTTATGGTGCTACCCCACAATCTGGTTACTTTTTTGCTGTTATTGAGCATTTCCAGCAAAGGTTTGAGACCACTGAGATAAAGGTTGCAGTTTAGCTTTGCTCAGGGATCTCCAAGACACAATCCCAAGAGTCCAGAACATGAAACTCTGTGGCAAATACATGGGATTCCGGGCAAGAGCAGTTTGGGTGTGAAAGATGAAGAAACAGTTTGGGAGTCTCAGAGGAAAAAACATTCCAAATGTCTTTTAACTCTGATTATTAGATGGGAAATTTAGGGAATGATGAATGCATCCTCAAAATGCAGCAGCATCCAAGGGGACAAAGTCAAGGATGAGTTATGCCCGAGGAAATAGGAATAAATCAGGGATAAAGAGGACACAAAGGACTGATCTGTCAACTGAGAGAGAGGGAAGGACTCAGGAGGAAGTGTAGAGAGGTAGGGGAAAGAGAGCTGGGTTTTGATTGACAATCTCACAAAATCCATGGTCATGTTCTTGTCCTGGAGTCTGGGACAAATCCACCCCACTCCAATGAGAGCTCCTGAAAGGAACACATCACTGAGTGAGCATGAGACAACAGCATTTCCCTCAGACACACAGAGAGCCCTCCTGCCATCCAAGGTGTTAGACAGAGCCACGTCACCAGGTCCCATGTGTGGCAGCAGGGACACCACAAAGTCAGCAGGAAGAGCCTGGATTCAGAAAGCCAGAGAAGCAATAACACTCTGAGTCCAGCTCAGAGCAAAAATACACATTAAAGCCTTAAATACAACCAAAATGAGCTGGAAAACAGCGCTGGGAGGGAAAACTCAGCACATCCTCATGGACAGCGAGTCTGGCAGCACCCCAGAGTCCTGGCAGGGTGAGTTCCCCACCTGGCTGGTGTTGGAATCCAGGGCATCCCTCTGACTGGAAGGTCTGGGACCCTGGCAGGGGTCAGGAACCCCCTGGACAGAGCCCCCAGAGACACTGTCTGTGATCTCTGTCCATGGAAAAGAGTTTTCAATCTTACAGCATGAATTACCAGCTCTGACTGTTGGATACGAGGAATAATTAAGTGTGGCACGGGTGCAAAAGTAAAATTTTAGGGTCCTAGATTAGGGGTCCAAAGGGGACAAGCTGGAGGAAATTGGGTGTGCCTTGTCCTTTTTCTCCTTCTTCATGCCCTCCATGTCTCACTGTGGTGTTGGCATTTTTCTGTTGGTTCAGGCTGGGGACACACTGTCCAACGTAGGTGACAGATATTGGCACGTTCTTGTAAATCCAGCCCAGGGAGTTTCTGGTATTTAATGTTTGTAACATCGAGGTTTCTACAACCTCGGAATCATCAATACCTCAGATTCCAACAGGCTGGGAGGAAGCCAGGAGCAGCCAGGACTCCTGGGCAGTGCCAGGGTGGTTAATAGGGTGGTTAATGAAGCCCAGCTAATCAGGCAGCACGCTCCTGGGTTTGCTGCTCCTGCAC